GTCCTCCTTCTCCTTCTTAATCTTGATTCTGGGGTGCGCTTCCTCTGCGGACGCCGCCCTCTTCGCAGCCTGCGAGCTCTGCTTTTGCCGCTCCTGTCTGCTTTTCTCCTTATCTGAAATAGAAAGGTCACTTTTTGGGACGGACAGCCCTGCAAGCATCACCTCACCCCCCGAGCTCTGCCTAGCGCTGCGGCGCCTTTCCAGCTCCCCTCCCATTTTAAGTTCTCCCCCCTCCACCCAAGCCTCGCAGCCTGTTTCCCCCCTCGGAGAGATCCTGTTCCGCTGCCAACCCCGAAACTTTTCTCCTCCAGCTTGAGCCATCCTACTCCCTCCTTTAAACCCTCCCCACGTCCTCCAGACCCTTCAGGGCAACGGAGCTGGGGAAGGGTCTGGAGCACAGGGCTGGTGGGGAGTGGCTGGGGGAGCTGGGGGGGTTCAGCCTGGAGAAGAGGAGGCTGAGGGGAGACCTCATCGCTCTCTGCAGCTCCTGACAGGAAGGGGTAGGGAGGGGGGTGTTGGTCTCTTCTCCCAAGTGACTGGCGATGGGACAAGAGGAGGAGGCCTCAGGTTGCATCAGGGGAGGTTTAGATTGGATATTAGGAAGAGTTTCTTCACGGAAAATGTGACCAAGCACTAGAACAGGCTACCCAGGGAAGCAGTGCACCAGCCCTGAAGAGGTTCAAAAAACGGGCAGAGGTGGCACTTTGGGGACATGGTTTAGTGGGCATGGGGGTGTTGGGGTGATGGTTGGGCTGGTGATCTTAGAGGGCCTTTCCAACCTTAGTGATTCCTGGTTTTACTTTCCTTAAAAAATAATGCAGCCACCAAGGCAGGAAACATGAAATTATTCCTCTGCCCTTAATTGGTTTAGTGGTGGACTTGGCAGTGTTAGGTTAATGGTTGGACTGGATGATCTGAAATGGCTTTTCCAACCTAAACGATTCTGTGACTCTTCCCAGCAAGGCTGCCTCAGGCACTTCAGCACAGCTTGGGATATCGAGCACCTTCCTTTCATTCTCCTTCCCCAGTAACATCCACACAGTAAGAACATCGTGGGCTACTCCATGGAAATTCTCTTCTCCAGACCCAACGATTCTTTTCTCTCTTCACTCTCCTTTGCCTCTCTCACTTTTGTGCATCTCCTCGGCACTCTGGAGCAACGCCTTGTCCCCACCCTTACTTTTGTCACCCATTTTCTTTCCTCCACCCCTCCTCCCAAGCTAGGACTCCAGCCTGACCGACGCGCCCCTCCGCCCCATGCTAAGGCCCCGTCCATCCTGCGTCCTCCTTCTCGCCACCGAGTGCCGAGCTCCTCTCTCAATGAGGGGCGGGAGCGCAGGAAAGACAGCTCTCGAACCCCGACAGCGCAAGGGCTCAGCTGGAGCTACAAGATGGCCCCAAATACCTGCTGCTTACGCCCATCTGCCATGGGCAGAGCCCGGCAAGGTTCCTCTGCGGGCCATGCCATAAGGTCCGAGCCCGTTTGAGAACAACGGACACCCCCAGCCCACGGTCACGGCTAATCGGCTCACCCTGCCAGCCGCAGCCCACCTCAGGGGGGAGCCGCCTGGAAGTTGTTAGCAAGCCACGGTAATCAGCTCCTCCTGCAAGTCACTGCTTCTAGCACCCCACTGGCTCTGACAAGGGTGACTTTTCAAGATCTCTGCTGCACAGATGGAAAAAAAAACCCTAATGGCTTCTTAAAAATCCATCAGCACAGCTGCACAGGCTGGTCCTTTATGTGGCATGTTCGTTCAAGTTGGGTTTGGATGTACTCTACAGCACTCTAGTCCTACAGGAGCAGCAGCCAAATTTTAAGCAGAGCTTTTCCTAAGCCTTCCCTCTCCCCGTCCCCCGCAGCGCTGCTCCCCGCGCAGCCTGGCAGGCTTTTTTCCAGGAAAAGTGCTATTATCGCCTACAAGATGTAGCTCTTCAGAGGCTGGGGGAGGACATTCACAGGTAAGGGCTGGATCCAGGCACTCAAGATACCCCTCAAGAGATGACGAAGTAAAGCCTGGACATTTGGGCTGTGGCTCTTTTCAGGAGCGCACCCGGCCTCGGTGTTCCCCTGCGCAAAGGGCCCTTGCGAGGCCGAGGGCTCCGTGCAGACGCTCCCACCCGGGGCCAAGGCCGCAGGAGCACACCTCACCTTTTTGGTTTTTTACGGGCACAGCATCATCTTCTGACAGGGAATCGGATGACGTATGAGGCGGCGTTTTAACTCCACAACCCTTTGCATGGAGGGCTTTTGTGATGTCATCTAAGTCATCGGAGTCCTTGGGGGGCCGATAGTTGGCCACATGGTCCACTCGAATCGTCCTGCCTTTGATCTACGAGAGGAGTTGTGCTGTTAGCGAAGGCACAGAGCTGCTCCGCACGCGCTGCAGGT